TGTGGCGAGGCTGGAGTACTAGGCTGCATATGCTGGAGTACCAGGCTGCATATGGTGGTTGTGGCGAGGCTGGAGTACTAGGCTGCATATGCTGGTTGTGGCGAGGCTGGAGTACTAGGCTGCATATGCTGGTTGTGGCTAGGCTGGACCGCTCCTCTAACCACCGCCCACAAGCGCAACCTAACCTACAGCAACTAAGTGCCTAGCCTTGATATAGTTCGCTAGGTACGGAATGGTAATATTAATTAAGGTACTGAATGTGGCACTGGTACACTATTCCAACATGAGAGAACAAATGAGACGAGACAAAACCAATAATCTGAACTAACCTGGTTTGGGGGGCGTTGCCCGCCTGTAACCGCTCCACCCTAACAGAATAAATCAAGATAATTGGATAATTAATTGACAACTTAGCTCGATATATTGTAACTAATGACTAATGTCATGTTGGATTTGGGTAAATATTAAATTAGCTTGTCTTTCTTAACTATGTAATGGGGGGTGGGGGAAATATTGCTCTCTTTTGCCCATTATCCCGCCCCTAGTTAACTATTCTAGAATTCCCCTAGAGTTACTACTGCAACCTCTCTAGTTGAACACCTTGTAACCTAGGTGTTTGATTACCTAGGTGCTACACCCACAAGGCGCCGTAACCTGACCAGCTTCCCGCAACTCTTAGAGAGAAACTCTTGAACATTTCACTGCCACAAACGTATAAGAGAAACGAAAGGGAAGAGATGAATAATGAATTAGTGAGGGTTTGGGGTGAGAGAGGTAGAAAGATGGGAGGATTGAGAAGGGTCATCAGTTGAAAGGGAGAGCTTGGGAGAGAGGCGGAGGGAGAGGAGAGAGAGTACGGGGATGAGTGGAGATAGAGGGTAAAAATAGACGAGTAGAAAAGTAGAAGTACTGCCACCATCCATTCTAGTCAGTACATACAAGACAAGGAATGGAACTTGTCTGTGTATCAAAGATGTTATTATCATGTGTCAAGAGGAATCATGTTCCAGGCAAGATTCTTTAATTCCATAGCCTCAAGAGTGCTCTACACTCTAGTCTGCATATTGTATCCAGAAATCCCAGATCTAGGAACAATTAAAATCAGATTACAAGTAAAGTGAATCAAGTATATATTTCTCAACAATTCATCAAGTATATTTATCAGCATAGATATCATAATTCAAGCAATCAAACTGAAGGTTCACTATTAATATACAAAGTGAGTCATTACCCAAGAATTCGAGACCACTACAACTGTCTGCCCCTGATAGTCACACGACTGGTTGATACCTGGTTGATACCTGGTTGATGGGGTTCTGGGAGTTCTTCTACTCCCCAAGCCCGGCCCGAGGCCAGGCTCGACTTGTGAGAGTTTGGTCCACCAGGCTGTTGCTTGGAGCGGCCCGCAGGCCCACATACCCACCACAGCCCGGTTGGTCCGGCACTCCTAATGTTCACTCACCGAGGGCTGAGCCTAAGTTGAATAGAGAGGGGGGGGGGATGGTCTGCGGTTGACAAGCAGTCACCCCCTCGTCCGGCCGACAGCCTATCTCTGCGGTTGTCTTCTGCCCTGCTCTGCTGTGCTGTCTCTGTCCTCCTCATGCTTATGTCCTCTCGAATCTACAGCTCCCCGAGTATTTATTTGGGAACCAACTACCTAACTCCGCCCCCAAGTAGATAGCCCCAGGCCCTCTACCAAGCCACTCCTTAAACGTCGGCTTGTTTGACGGACCTTCCCGGCTACAATTATGAGCTTAGCAGAAAGAAGGTCAACTTCACACGACCTGACCTTGGTCACTTGGTGGTCATTAACACTCTAGAGGTGTGACTTTCGGGCCGACACAATGGCGCCTCTCAAATCCTTGATTGTGACTCATGTATCTATATGTATATATTAAACACAAAACTAATTAGTTTAGTTTAGTTCAGTTCAATTATTATGCACCCCATACCCATCTTGTGGGTATGGTATGCATAATGGGTATGGGGTGCATAATGCAAGCGGTGGCGTCTCGTAGTCCATGAAGAAGATGCTAGTGTGTGTGTGTGTGTGTGTAAGAAGCAACGAACTGGTAACTACAGGGCGCCTTAATCCGCTTGACCATCACGGCCGTCAAAAGGAAGTGATAGCCGAGGCTATTTGAGCACTTCCCCGACGGCAACTCGGATGGTAATCTTGGGCATAGCATTTCACCAAATCACCTCATTCTTTGGGGCACACGTGAGGAACACAAATGCGAACAAGCCTGAATGGTCCCCAGGACTATATGCGAATGAAAACTCACTCACACCCCAGAAGTGACTCGAACCCATGACTCCGGCAGAAGCAACGCAACTGGTAACTACAGGGCGCCTTAATCCACGTGTGCCCCAAAGAATGAGGTGATTTGGTGAAATGCTATGCCCAAGATTACCATCCGAGTTGCCGTCGGGGAAGTGGCTCAAATAGCCTCGGCTATCACTTCCTTTTTGACGGCCGTGATGGTCAAGCGGATAAGGCGCCCTGTAGTTACCAGTTGCGTTGCTTCTGGAGTATGGGTTCGAGTCACTTCTGGGTGTGAGTTTTCATTCGCATATATTCCCCTGGGGACCATTCAGGCTTGTTCGCATATATATATATATATATATATATATATAATATATATATATATATAGATATATATAGATATATATCATTATATATATATATGATATATATTATATATATATATAATGAGATATATAGTATATATATATATATAGATAGCTTATATAGATATATATATATATATAGATATAGATATATATAGATATCTAATATATATATATATATATATATATATAGATATAGATATATATTATAGATATAGATAGATATATATATATATAGATATATATATATATATATATATATATATATAGATATATATATATATATATATATATAGATATATATAAATATATAGATATATATATAGATATATATAAATGTTTGTGTGTATATAATATATAAAAAGGTGAAAAGGTGCAGTATATAAATATATAATATAATAAATGTGTGTATGTACATTGTATAGGGTTCGAATGTTTATACACTTGTAGATGCCCCATCCTTACAGTAAGCATTATATAAATACTGGAACACAATGATGTACTAGACATGTAGCCAAAATTGACTATGTGATGCAACAGTTATGTAATATGTGATGCAGTTATTACTTGAGCTTGCAAAAGCTGTTCAATCATCCACTGTGGGGTTGAGTGCGCAGTAACTCACTTCACATATATAACAGAACACATCTCTAACCTCGTCCATTCAGAACAGAATACAATGCATATATGCTAGTTAGCATCATGAATGACTGGCCACGTCTGTGGTAGAAAATAAACCAAACATCAAAATGAGATACAATGTGTCTCCAGCACTCTGGCATTTCTCCATTTTTGAAACATAAAAATCAATATTGGAATCGTACCAGACTCTGAACACTTAATTAAGCGAATGGAAACTCTCAACGCAATAAAATACTTAAATAAGAATTCACAATTTTTAGTTGCGTTAACAACAAACCCATTTTTTCCCCGAAGTAGGGAAGGAATGGGACAAAGGGGAGGAGGTGGGGAGGGATTTATTAATTTCCTGTGTTTGACTAACAATGTGAAACTTGGTGCAAATTTTGATTAACTGGGTGTAAAAAACAAAGCCCGTTGTGGAACACGTGATGGCAACACTGTTTATAGTGAAGCCACGTTAATGTAAACTTTAATTTTTATATATACAAGAGTTTTTACATTCTTGTAAAGCCACTAGCACGCGTAGCGTTTCGGGCAGGTCCTTAATCCTAATTTTCCCCGGAATTCGACCCGCCAAATCGTTAAACAACCAGGTACCCATTCACTGCTGGGTGAACAGAGGCTACAGTTTGAGCAGTCAGTCCTCATAAACAAAGACCCAAAAGTGATTCCATGCACCCGCCAAACCCCCTGTTTATGAATGAAAAACGGTTTACACACAACCCGTCCTCGACTCAAGTCCATTACATTCAGCGGTCGACCCCACAGACGCATTCATAAATTTTAACATGCTGTTCATTCAAAACGGTAATGTTCTCAAGTATAAATTAATATTATAATATATTAGCACATTGTGCATATATAGGCATAGGTTAGGTTAGATGCTTAGGTTCTGTTGGCGATTATTTGTATTTGTAGTACGTGGGTGAAGCATTTATAGCGTTGTGATTCGAACAAAATTCGTCAGTGAAGCACTTGTTCCGGATATGTTCGAACGTCAGCAGTTGTGAGTCGTGTGTAAACCGTTTTCATTCATAAACAGGGGACTTGGCGGGTGGCAGCCCGTCCTCCAAACAAAGATCAAAAAGTGATTCCATGCCACCCGCCAACCCCCTGTTTATGAATGAAAAGCGGTTTACACACGACTCACAACTGCTGACGTTCGAACATATCCGGAACAAGTGCTTCACTGACGAATTTTGTTCGAATCACAACGCTATAAATGCTTCACCCACGTACTACAAATACAAATAATCGCCAACAGAACCTAAGCATCTAACCTAACCTATGCCTATATATGCACAATGTGCTAATATATTATAATATTAATTTATATTTGAGAACATTACCGTTTTGAATGAACAGCATGTTAAAATTTATGAATGTTTCTGTGGGGTCGACCGCTGGATGGAATGGACTTGAGTCGAGAACGGGTTGTGGCTCTGATTTTATCATGAATATTACTATTATTATTACTGTTATTCATAATACTATTTTATTAATATTACTGTTATTCATAATACCATTTTATTAATATTATTCCTGTTAATTTTTGTACTGCTATTAATATTATTGCCCGTATTATTACTTGATAATTAGTTTAATATTGTGACTAAAGAATTTACTGGAGATATTAAGTAATTACTTGAAGTAGTAGTAATATAAGTGAGTGTTATGGAGGTGAAGGTGCTCGAGCAGGAGAGTGATGGTGACTCTCTCCCTCACAGCTGGTGGCCAACAGTGCGCTGTTCCTGTGTGTGAACGTGGGCGGCCTCTTCACCCACTACCCCGGGGAGGCGGCCAGGAGGCAGGCCTTCATGGAGACCCGCCAGTGTATCGCCACCAGGATCAAGACCCAGAAGGAGAACCACCAGCAGGTATGTGCTCCTCCTTCCTTCCTCCTGAGACCCGAGTCGACGGCTCTGTTGTGGTTGTTGTGATAGATTCAGCTACTGGGGAAGAAGTTGCAAGTAGCGCGGGCTATGGTGAGCCCGTAGTGGACTGACCTGGCACAGGAGCGGGGCAAGTAGCGCGGGCTATGGTGAGCCCGTAGTGAACTTGCCTGGCACAGGAGCAGGGTAAGTAGCGCGGGCTATGGTGAGCCCGTAGTGGACTTGGGGCCTGGCACAGGAGCAAGGGCAAGTAGCACGGGCTATGGTGAGCCCGTAGTAGACTTACCTGGCACAGGAGCGGGGCAAGTAGCACGGGCTATGGTGAGCCCGTAGTGGACTTGCCTGGCACAGGAGCGGGGCAAGTAGCACGGGCTATGGTGAGCCCGTAGTGGAGACTTACCTGGCACAGGAGCGGGGCAAGTAGCGCGGGCTATGGTGAGCCCGTAGTGAACTTGCCTGGCACAGGAGCGGGGCAAGTAGCGCGGGCTATGGTGAGCCCGTAGTGAACTTGCCTGGCACAGGAGCGGGGCAAGTAGCGCGGGCTATGGTGAGCCCGTAGTGAACTTGCCTGGCACAGGAGCGGGGCAAGTAGCGCGGGCTATGGTGAGCCCGTAGTGGACTTGCCTGGCACAGGAGCGGTGCAAGTAGCGCGGGCTATGGTGAGCCCGTAGTGGACTTACCTGGCACAGGAGCGGGGCAAGTAGCACGGGCTATGGTGAGCCCGTAGTGGACTTACCTGGCACAGGAGCGGGGCAAGTAGCGCGGGCTATGGTGAGCCCGTAGTGGACTTACCCGGCACAGGAGCGGGGCCGTCTGACGGATCTGTCCAGACGTCTTCTAATGAACAGTAGCGGTTGTTCTGTTTGGCTTTGTATACATGACCACCTATTCGTTATCCTTCAGCACCATAGGTGTCTTTACACACTATCTTCTTATCTTGAGATGATTTCGGGGCTTTAGTGTCCCCGTGACCCGGTCCTCGACCAGGCCTCCACCCCCAGGAAGCAGCCCGTGACAGCTGACTAACACCCAGGTACCTATTTTACTGCTAGGTAACAGGGGCATAGGGTGAAAGAAACTGCACCATTGTTTCTCGCCGGCGTCCGGGATCGAACCCGGGACCACAGGATCACAAGTCTAGTGTGCTGTCCGCTCGGCCGACCGGCTCCCCAAAATCACCATAACGACTACACAGGGCTAACAACCTCCCCCCCCCCCTTCCCGACCCAACCTGACTACCGTCAAGACGGTCTCCTTAAGGAACATACACAAAGATACACAACTGTGCTAGACTATACACCACCAGCATACAACTCTCTCCTCAACCACCATAACATCAAGATGAACCAAATATACAGTAATGGATTACATGAGGAAGATGTGGAGGCTAATTCACTTACATAGTTTTAAATATAATATATTACATGGACAGATTTGTGATAAGTCGTGGCATTGAACAACTGATGATGGACGAGAGAGCGAACGTTCCACACTGGAAGCATATCAAGGTGTAAGATCTATCTGTACACCTCTTATCTGTGCCTCTCTGTATCTCAATATGCATCTCTGTATCTGAATCTTTATCTGTATATTTATCTGTATATACCTTTATTTGCACTCCTCTGTGTTGCGACTGCCTGCATCTGAATATCTTTATCTGTATCTCTATTTGTACATGTTCCCCGTATCTGTACATCTATCTATATATGCCACTGTATTTGTAGATCTCAATCTGCATATATACAGGTACTTTTATCTGTATCTTTAACTCTCTATTTTTATCTCTGTCCTTATGAATCACTGTATCTGAATCTCTCTCTCTTTATCTCTCTCTTTCCGTCTCTCTCTTCTCTCCTTTCTCTCTTTCTTTCTCTCTCTTTCTCTTTCGCTCTTCTCTCTCTCTCTCTCTCTCCTCTCTCTCTCTCTCTCTTTCTCTCTTCTCTCTCTCTCTCTCTCTCTCTCTCTCTTTCTATTTCTCTCTCTCTCTCTCCCTCTCTCCCCCTCTTCTCTCTCTTTTCTCTCCCTCTCTCTTCTCTCTCTCTCTCTTCTCGCTCATCTCTCTCTCTCTCTCTCTCTCTCTCTCTCCTCTCTCTCTCTCCGCTCTCTCTCTCGCTTTCTCTCTCGCTCTCTCGCTCTCTTCTCGTTCTCTCCTCTCTCTCTCTCGCTCTCTCTCTCTCGCTCTCTCTCGCTCTCCACTCTCTCTGACACTCACACACACACACCACACACACACACACACACACACACACACACCACACACCACACACACACACACACACACACACACACACACACGGCCACACCGGCGGCGGCGGGGCGCGGGTTGCCATGTGGACAGCACGCTGAACATGTAATTCTGTGGCCCGAGTTTGATTCTCGGGGCCGGCGAGAAATAAATGGGCAGAATTTCTTTCATCCTGATGCCCCTGTTACCTAGCAGTAAATAGGTACCTGGGAGTTAGACAGCTGTTACAGGCTGCTTTCTGTGTGTGTGTGTGTGTGTGTGTGTGTGTGTGTGTGGTGTGTGTGTGTGGTGTGTGTGTGTGTGTGTGTGTGTGTGGTGTGTGTGTGTGTGTGAAAATTTCTTTGATTGAAACAGTTGATTGACAGTTGAGAGGCGGGCCAAAAGAGCAGAGCTCAACCCCCGCAAGCACAACTAGGTGAATACACACACACACACACACACACACACACACACACACACACACACACACACACACACACACACACACACACCCCACCACAACACACACACACACTGCTTTAATAGGACATTATATACAAGGTGGAAGCGTTGTGCATTTCGGAACGGAAATTGAAATTGTGAAATTGAGGAAATTGAGTTGTCCTGAATTTCTGAATAGGTAGATTACATTCATTGAATCTTCATACTTAAATGCACACGCCCATATACACTTTGCTTGCATACATGCATACTTTATATACATATACACATGAAAAACACACATATACTGTACATCCAAACATAGTCTGGCAAATCAGAATAGGTATAAAAAGCCTAAGCTTCGAAAAGGGGTAAGATTGGGCACAGGTAAAGATCGCGAGGGAGGGAGAGAGAGAGAGAGAGAGCGAGAGAGAGAGGGGGGGGGGAGGGAGGTTGTTTATAAACCAAAGGGGTAGAGTAGGCGTCGGCACCAACCCGTCCTCTTAAAAATAACGTCACATTTCGCCCGTATGCGCACTATGGCCAAATTTAGACGTAATTTGAAATGAAATCGACTCACTAAAGTGACGTACTGTTCCGTTTTCTGTTTGAGTCGTCCGGCCGACTCTGTAAGGTTAGAATAGGAGACTTTCAATTAACGTTTTTCATTACGTTTTGAAACTTTGAGAATTTCCTGTCCACCTAACCTATCAGAGGACCCTTAAGTTACTGTTGTTGAAAAAAAAATCAAAAATTTATTTTCATTTTCAAATTACGTCCACTTTCGGCCATACGGGTAAACGGCCAAAAGCGACGTTATTTTTAAGAGGACAGGTTGACCACCAGACACAACCACGTCTTGCCTTGAGAGGTTATGGGCAATGTGAAGGAGACGCAGCGGGGAAGAGAGTGGCGTGCGCCGGAATACATGGTGTGACCCCTGGGGCTTCCACAGGCCGCAGGAAGCCCCCCCCCCCCCCCGTGTGACTTCTTCAGAGTATGTCATCACCGTTGGTCATGTCTGGGTTCAGCTCAGGCTTCCTACACTCTGAATGGGAGTAGGACGCCGTCACCATCGGGGTGTATAACAGGCATACTGCTCATTTGTTTACGTTTATATTTGATATAAATTAGCTCATCAGTGCTGTAACTTGCTTTCCTATGAACTCATTTTGGGTTTCGGTTCGTGATCCCATTATGTGTCTAGTTGTTTTCCACTATGTAGGGCGTGTAATAACTCTGCTAAACTCTTGGCCCGGCCACCACGTTAGCTTACATTTGATGAAATATTATTACTATAATCGTTAAATATTAAAAAAAATACATCACTATGCACCAGTGTGTGTATATATATATATATATATATATATATATATATATATATATATATATATATATATATATATATACTAGAGTATACACATATACAGTGAGACGGAAGGCGCATGGTATAGATGGTAGAGGTGAGTGAAGCGCCTCAGTTGTGTGCACTTTTGTCACTGCAGGAGCGGTTGTTGCTGTCCGTGCTGCCCAGACACGTGGCCATGGAGATGAAGTCTGCCATCGCCGGCATCCCCAAGGACACCATGTTCCACAAGATCTACATCCACATCCAGCGCCACGACAATGTCAGGTGTGTGTCTGACGCCAACACCTGCCTTACCAGCCCTATTGCTGTCTCCACTCCGTCCTCCACCCTACAGCCCCCACTCCGTCCTCCACCCTACAGCCCCCCACTCCCGTCCTCCACCCTACAGCCCCCCACTCCGTCCTCCACCGTACAGCCCCCCACTACTCCCCCCACTCCTCCACCGTACAGCCCCCACTCCGTCCTCCACCGTACAGCCCCCACTCCGTCCTCCACCCTACAGCCCCCCACTTCGTCCTCCACCCTACAGCCCCCACAACCCTACACCCACCACTCTCCATAACCCGCGCAATACCCCTTCACTCTACGATTCCTTCCATCACCCTACAAAACACCACCACCCTAAGTCACTCTATCAATACCAGATTTATTGAGAGTGGTCTGATTCCAGCCAGGAAATATTATATGCATAAGTACGCATAGCCAAGCATAGCCAAGCACAGCCAAGCACCAGGTGTGTGTAACCTGCAGACCATCCTCCTAATATGATAGTACTTATAGCAACTATTTATTCAAGTGTACATGTAGGTACTGTTAGACTTCCAAGAACTAACAGCTTACCAGAGAGCCAAGTCATTCAGTGCTGTCCCGTGTTGAATGAACACCATCGCTGATATCATTAATTGTAATTACGAAGCAATAAGATGCTTATCTTAAGATACTAAGTAGGTTAGGTTAGGTCGGTGTTTTCTATGAATCTTTTTAAGGGTATCTATTATGTTAAGTATGTCACCTATGCACATATTTAATAAGTCAATATTGACTTATTAAATTTGCGAGAACGGGTTGGGGTGTGGAGTGCCCTGGGTGTGGTGGTGTGGAGTGTACTGGGTGTGGTGGCGTGGGTGTGGAGTGTACTGGGTGTGGTGATGTGGGTGTGGGGTGTACTGGGTGTGGTGGCGTGGGTGTGGAGTGTACTGGGTGTGGGTGTGGGGTGTACTGGGTGTGGTGGTGTGGGTGTGGAGTGTACTGGGTGTGGTGGTGTGGGTGTGGAGTGTCCTGGGTGTGGTGGTGTGGGTGTGGAGTGTCCTGGGTGTGGTGTGTGGAGTGCCCTGGGTGTGGTGGTGTGGAGTGTACTGGGTGTGGTGGCGTGGGTGTGGAGTGTACTGGGGGTGGGTGATGGTGGGTGTGGGGTTTACTGGTTGTGGTGGCGTGGGTGTGGAGTGTACTGGTTGTGGGTGTGGGGTGTACTGTGGCGTGGTTGTGTTGGGTG